TAAATTATTGAGTTATTGCCAGTTTATTATCAGAGAATTTTGGTACAAGTGATCGTCGGAAAGAGTTAATGATTTGCATCTTATATTTTTTATATTTACAAGTATTTATTTATAAATTATTCAGATAAAAAGTTTTTTAAATTATAAAAAAATTTTATCCTATAAGTAAAATAATATAAAGATCATTTTTACTTAATAGATAAAATATAGTTTGCATAATAAAAAAAAATGTATAAATTAAAAACTAAATAATTTAAATATTTTTTATAAATTTATAAATTGATAAAAAAAATATTTAATTAAACTATAATAAATTTATTTTTAAATCTTAATATTATATTATATATAATTCTAAAAGTGTAGTTTAAAATAACAATTATTAGATTTAATATGATTAATAAGCTTTTTAATTTATTTTATAAAATATAATATATCAAAATTAAAAATATAACCTATAATTTGTTTTTAAACAATATATATTTATAAAAAAATGCTTATATAAAATATAATTATAAAAAAGTTCAACTATATTATTTTGTTACTAATTTACTAATTATTTATATATATAAGTATTTGAACTTTGATAAACATATTTATAAACTTTAAACTTTGGCAGTCTTGCCAATATTCTTTATTAAATGAATTGCATAATTATTTACACAAATATTTGGTTAATTTATAGGTTTAACATCTTTTAGCTACTATAAAAGCATCAAAAGGCTGTCTGCTATACTAGTATAAGTTTATACTTAATACTAAAGAGTTATTCAGACTAGGCTTTAAGACTGTTTCAGTAAAGTTTATTATTATCATTAATTAACTTTCATATTTCTTTTATTATAAGTTTTCTATTTTATTTTTTTAAGTTTTTTTTTTATCTGTTTTCTTATTTCTTAATTTTTGTATCATTTTGTATAGCACTATATTTTGTTGTTTTTTTATTTTTTTTCTTTTTTTCTTCATTTTCTCTTTTGTGTTAATATCTTAACTTATTTCTTATTCATATACTTTATAACATCTTTTTCTTTAAACAATATTATAGAATTTATTTTATATAACATTTGTGGCACTTGCTATAAGTTTTTGGTTTCTTGTACTAAGACTAAGAGATCTTGTACTTTTTTTACTATCTTTTTTTGAATGAAATCTTTGATAAATTTTTATTTAATCAGCTTCAAAATTTTATCTTTTAAAATAGACTTGGTGATGTTTTCTTTGTTGTCATTTAGCAGTAGACCTTATGTTAATTCTAATGTCAATATTTTTACTTTTATTTACAAATTTTTATAGACTAATCACTTAAATATTTATGTTTTTTTTTTCTTTACATAATATACTATTTGAACTAGTATATAGATCTGATTATTATATAGATAGTTTTTTAAGTATAGACATCTTTTCTTAAATGTATTTAAAAGATGTGCTAAGTTTTTTATTTTCTTAAGTTGAAATGCATCTTATTTTACTTTAATTTTTGATTCTTTACTATAACAAAGTTTAGCAGTATTTATTAATATTATATTTTAACTTTAATTTTTTTAATAAAAATCTCTATTCCTATTTTTTTAAAATTTTCAGATAATATCAATAATTTATTCAAATTTTTGTCTCAAACTTGTAAATCTTTTATGTTCATTCATTTTCTTTTTAGAATTTTTTGAAATTTCTTATTTTCTAATTGTTAACTTTATTTCTACTATACTATATAGAAAGCATATTTATTAAGCAATATGTTCTTAAAAATTTTTTATAAAGAATATGTTCAAAGTAACAAATGTTTTCAAATCCAAAAATATGTTCTTTTGATAATATGAGAATATTAGATTTTCTATATTTAATATGACTATTTCAAATTAAAATAACTCAACTTACTTAGGCTATTTTAGCTATATAGACTACTATAGCTATATAGGGCATAAAGGTCATGTCAGATAAGTATGAGTTAGAAATGAAATAGTAAAGTTAGCAGATGTTTTATTAAAATAATAACTGGCTTTTTATATTATAATAAATATATAAACATCTTTCTTGCTACATTAACTAATTACTAAATTCTCCAATATAAAAACCTACTTCTTGTAGTTATCTGTTTTAAGCCCAAAAGTATTATTACCCTTCCCATCTGGCTATTGTATCCTAAAGTACCAGAATTAGCTATAGTAGTATCTTTTTTTTTTTTTAGATTTAAAGAGCAATGTCTATGGCTTATAATCTTTTATTAAGACTTACAACCTACAAATATTGTAGGGAGGTATTACATTTTGCATATCAATGAGGCTACAATTAGCCACTTGTACAACTTTAGTCATTGTCTATTTAAAGATTCTGCCTACAGGTTATCTACTAATTGCTATAACTGAAACCCACCTATGGGTTCCCTATTTAAAGTCTCTGATTTTCAATGTTTTTTCTGTAGTATCAACTTAATTTTTTAATAATGGACCTTAGGGCTACTTTACTCTTGATGCAAACTCTACTAAATGGAAGTAGATCCTATGGCTACACCTATTTGGATTTATAATGTCAAAGGTGATTCCATATTAGGTAAGACCAATCCTTTCACAAATGTTAATAATATTCTTTATATTTCTTACTATAGTAGTGCCCATGCTCTGCCATACTGGTTTCCTTCCAGAAATTCCTTAAATCAAATATGTACCTTCACTTGGACTTCTACAGAGCTTCACATCTGATTATAGGCTTCATTTTTGGTTATAAAGTATTTTACCTCCAGTCAGACTCAAACTGTTGACCTTGTTTGTGAGAGAATAAGAGCTTAACAACTAAGCTATAGGACCCAACCCCTGTAGTAGTATTATTCTACTATCTTAAAAGACTAAGAATAGTAAGATTATATGTGTTATCCAATTATCCAATGTAGTAAGGTAATTGAGAATAGATTTAGAAAGTTTAAGAAAAAAAAAATACAAGACAAGTAAAGACAAAATACTTATCTATAGACCCAAACTCCTAACTAAATCTAAATATCTTTTTTTTGACTAAGTTAACTATAGATTTATAAGGTTTTAGACTATAAAATAACTGACTTACTGTATTATCTGATTTCAATAGATGTGATCAGAGCTTTAGTTTGGAATTTTTAGATATATAGAACAGACTACAACTTCTCTATACATATGCCTATCTTCTATTATTAGTTGTTTTATAATACTAAAAATGCTTTCAATCTTGATAAGACTAATTCTTTACTACAAACCTTCATTGCATGCACTGCTTTCCAGTTATGTTATCTTTAGTATAAACCTCTTATTCAAGTACTTTATAAATTGGATACAAAGATATTGATACTGTCTTATCTCTAGAGAACTTGTATATATAACCTTTTATATAATGAAACCTTCTGTAATGTTACTGTCTTATATAGTGTTTGCATTTTGCAAAATCAGTCTCCTTTCAAAAATTTCTGTTTCTGTCATGTATTGTACCTGAACTTGACTACAGGGCTTTGCATTCAATTACAGGCTCCTAATTAGGTTACAAAGTCTAAAATCTTTTGATTTTGCTTTTAGCTGAACTTGAACTATTAACCTTGACTGTGGGATATAAGAGCTTAACCATCAATCAAAATTATAATATCTGTATATTTTAAAATTTATTATTAAAATTTAAAATATTTAATAACAAATATCTTTTGATTTACTAAATCAATTTAGATAAATAACTACCAAAATATTCATCTTGATAAGCTAATTCTAATGAATACAAAATTACTAAAATCTGATTACAAAATTTCAAGATTATTAATGATTTATATTACTATAAATGTTTAAACATTTAAAATGATCTGGAATTCTGTAATTATATTTTAATGATTTTGTATTTATTAGAATCAGCTCATTAAGATAAACATTTGGTAGTTGTTTTATTCAAATTGGTTTAGTAGATCAAAAAATATTCACTATTGAAGATTTTGGAATTTTTAATAATAATTTTAAATATGTATAAATATGAATATTAACCAATTAGATTCAATAATCTATATTTATTTAAAAATTAATGATTATAAAAAGGTTTATTATTAATAAAATTGACTAAAAAATAAATTTTATAATGATAGTGATTATAAGCAATTTGTGACTATAAAGAGGTTTATTTCCACTATAAAGAGGTTTATTTCCTATATTTGAGTGCTTATATAGAGGTGTGACTATATAGGGTGTGACTATATAGAGGTCTGACTGTACATAAACACGACTTTTGCAGTATACATGTATACACCACTACTTTACTAAAAGATTGTCTGCTGTAAAATAGTTGTAAATTGAAATATAAAATTTTTAAGCTATGATGTTTATTTAAATATTCATTACGATGATGAACACATTTAACCCTCTTAAAATATTTTCCGCTAAGTAAAATTTGTTCTCAGACGCTTTATCCCATCGATTAAGGTGTTTGAAAACGCTCTTTATCATTTCCATAAGAATGACTTTTTAAAACTTTGAAAGAATCTTATATAATTTATCCAGATAAAATGCAATATCTTTACAATTTTAATAAAGAAAAATTTCACTTTAATGATGAATCACTTTAATGAATAACCAATTAAATCTACATCATATAATATATATAATATATATATACATACATATACTTCAATAAGGGCGAATAAATTTAAAATCGTTAAGCCTAATCCCACGCTTCTCAAGTAATTGTTTGCTTTCATTTTCCAATTGAAAAATTCCAACTTTAATAACATTAAGAACTTCAAGCCTACTATTAATATTCAAATTTTCAATAAATGATTTAAAAGAATCAAAAGAAGGATAATAATATTTTGTTGTAATAATAATATTTAAAGTTTTTAACGATGGTGATAAATGTTCAGCTATATCAATCAAGTTAACCTGATAAAAATTATTCTCAGTATAGAATTTTAGTACTCTTAATTTTTGACAACTAATTAAAATTGATATAATTTCAGAATTTGATAAAGTACGAATATTTAAATGAACAAGGTTTTCACAATTCTGAGTGATAGTGTTAACAATTTTGGTTTTATTCTCTAAAGATAAAGGAACCATGGATAATTCTAAGTGTTGAAGGTATTGATTGGCAGATTCGATTATTTTTGTGATTAAAGGTACAGTATCCTGATTAAAATGGCCATTTTTACAGAACTCAAGTTTTTGTAATTTTTTTAGGTCAAAAAAGGAATTCATAGAATCAATAATATCTTGCTTAAAGTCAATCTCTTTTAATGAAAGATTTACTAGAGAACTTAAAGAACCAGATTGACTTTGTAAAGATTCAAATATTTCAGAAATATTTCTGTAACCGATTATTTCAAGATATTGTAATGAACTTTGAGCTTTAATGAGCTCTGCTAATGCACTAGCTTCATTTTCTTTATCTTCATGATCGTCTTTATATGCATCTTCTCGAATAGTAATGTGTTCGAGCTTTTTGGCAAATTCTGAAAGGTTTTTTGCAAATTGTGCAACATTTCTAACAAATATTTTTTCGTTTGTTTGTGAATAAATAAATAACCTTCTTAAATCTTGTAAACTTTGTGTATCTTTATTGAGGATTGGTGCTTGTATATTTCCATCAAGATGAATGAATTGAATATTATTTGCCTTTCCAATTATGTTTTCGATTAAGGTTTTTCTCAATATTTCTCTGTAATGTTCAAATTCATTTTCATCGATGATCAATTTATTTTCATCATCAATCCAAGAGTCTGCTGCATTATAAATAAATGAAAAATCTAAAACTTTCAGATGAGATAAATATGTAAACATTGGTGAAGATTTCGATGGTAAAGTCAATCCTTCATTTTTTAAAAACTCATATCTACTTTCAGTAAGACAAAGTAAATAAGTTCTAGCAAGATGTTTAAAAGATTTCCATGCTTTTTCGTCTGGTTGAGGAAAACAATTAGGTATAAATGGTCCTTGCCAAAGTATAGGTACTGCTGTTTCACACCATAATTTATTGACAAAGATACATGAATATATTTTGTCAAGTTCAGCGTATATAAAAATTTCACGTAATATATCTTCTTTTTCGAAAATTTCATATGCCATATCTTTAATTCAAAAAATGAAAAAAAACGTACGTACGCATATACCGATACGTAGTAGTACGTACGTACATAAATGCTTATTTTATAGACGAATATCTCAAATTAGGACGGTGTAACAGGAAGTTAATATTCCCATATAAACATGATGTCACGTTTCGTTTTTAAAATTTTCCTATTTGTTATCATTCCCTTGCCATTATCCTTGCCATTATATAACGATAGTAAATTTCATTGTCACATTCCGTATTACTGTTCATTCTAACTTACATTTATTTAGTCAATTACACTTGGTCATTAATTATTCATAGCCGTATTGATGGTATTGTGAAGAAGGTTTGCTAATTTTCCTCTCCAGTTTCTGTTGGACGAAGAGAAATCATGCCTTCGATTGGATAAAATATATCCCATCAGACTTGGAAATTTTTTGCATGTTAAAGTAAGTATCGTTAGTGCAGTATAAAGGTCTATTAGGCATATATTGAACTAAAAATTTGCAATCAAGAAGTTTTTTTTTTTAAGGACAAAAAAGGTGGTTTTATAAACAAAATTTTTACTAGCGATTCTTGAAAATTTTTGATGAAAATTTTTATGCTACACCACAAAATTATAAAGGGTTAATAAGACAAAATTATAAAGGGTTAATAAGACAAAATTATAAAGGGTTAATGATACAAAATTATAAAGGGTTAATGATACAAAATTATGAAGGGTTAATAATAAAAATAATTCTAAAGGGTTAATGAATCTACCAATTATGTTCTTCATATCTAATCTCCCTTTAGTATGGACATCCACTAAGTAATAATAATATGACAATGTTTATAATTTTGATAGATAAATTATTTAATGACATTTATAATAGGTTTAAAAAATGATGATAATTTGGATAATTTATAACATTCGAATTAATCACAGATATGATCATATTTTACTGCTTGATGCAATTCCTTGTTGGTCAATTGAAGCAGATTCTGACATTTTCTCTACTTGAATTTGTAGTTTTCTTCCAAGTTTTACGTTTTTCATCCTATTATTTTATTACAATTAGTCTTTGAATAAACTTGAGCATTATATTATACTTATTGATGTGACAAAAATTCTCACCAGAAGTAACCATATTCTTTTCCAACATTATTCAAAGCTTCTCTTTGCTCTTCAACACTTTTATTGACATCCAGTGCATCTTCGATAGCTTCAATATATTCGGTACTAACTTGCAAATCTTTCAGAAATAGATGAATATTGCCTGTCTGATAATATACATTATTTCTCTCACCCATATTAATGGAATATTCATTCTGCATTTTGATATCTTTCTCATGAAGATTTTTAATGAAAAATGCTGGTTTACTTGCTGTCTTCATGTCCTCACCATCAATTGTCCACCCTTTATCTAGATTAAGAAGTTGAACAATTTTTGGAAAACTTGGTTTTGAAAGGTCGCTTTCTATATAAAACGAAAAGTCAGAGCCATCTTTAATCAAAATAGTTTCAAGTGTATAATTGTTTTCATGGTCTCGTGATATTTTTCCACCAAATCGATCATAAAAATAGACATTTTGTCGACCCAACATTAAATCTTTTTCTATTGATAGACGCCGACGAACATAACTCAAGTTTGCCGATTTATCCAGGTCTTCGAACGTAAATTTCAATTGATCATTATTAACAATGATTGCATTAATACATTGTTTGCTAATAAGAAATAAAAAAGTAAGATCGTATTATAATGTTTGAAAATAAAAATCTAATCAAATAATGAACTAATATAAATGTCGTGCTTGTAGTTACATATGACTGAAATTAAAACAAATTCAATCTTATATATACTTAATTAGTAATTAAAGCATGTACAACTCCAAGCATTTGAATTATCGACATCAAGCACGACATATACATTACAATCAGATAGCTATCTGTAAAATATCTACCTAGAAAGAATTTAATATAAGATATAATGATGATTACCAAAAAAAAGCAATAAAGCCAAATGTTTTAGAATAAATACCTGCTAATACTGTTTACAATGAATTTGATGGATGCCTTATTTGAAAGTTTCTTGAGCTGTTTTGAAATTTTAAGTAGTGTTGGACGTTGGTCCGGATTATCGGACCAGCACTCCTTGTAAAGGTCAACGTAATCCTGAGGAGTATTGGGAATATCCTTTTCTCTTTGTTTATTTATGATTTTTATCGATAAGGCCAAAATAGAAAGATTATGGAATGGTGGAATTCCGCTTGTAAGCTCCCAGAACAAAACACCCAGACTGTAAATATCTGATCTTTTATCATTGGTAGGCTTGTTTAGAAGATTTTGAGGATCGGTATATGCGGGTATGCCTTTTGCATATGAACTTGAACTGACCGTATCATTTAGCTGTTTAGATATCCCAAAATCTGCAATTAAGGCTTTACCATCGTTTAGTAAAATGTTTTTAGAATGCTAGAGAAATTTATTAAATAAATTACTTAATGCCAAATTTGCGTAAAGATTTATATACAGTATTATAAAAAAATAATTGAAGCTTACTAGATCTCTATGAATAATATTAATTTCATGTAAATATATCAATCCATTAGTAATATCAATTGCTATTTTGATGAGATCAGACCATGAAATTTTATAAATGCCGTTTTGTCTCTTGCTCAGTAAATAATTTCGGAGATTACCACCATTAGCAAACTGTAACACCAACATAAAATGTCTTGATTGTGGATCTAGGATCGATTGAATTTATATAAGATCAAGGCTTTATTGTTTAAATTTCAAAAATAAATTTATTCGTACCTCTAGAAATTCCGTAGAATTTAATAATGTTTTCGTGATTTAATTTATTAAGAACTTTAATCTATATCATTATGAAATTTGAATTTATATTGAAAATTTTAGTACGTACGTACATATTATAATATTACATGTACGTTATAGTAATTTGATAGGCAAATCGCGTATTAATGTTTTTTTTAATAATTTATAGCAATGCATTACTTCATAAATGATTTTTTTAATCATTTCATCATCCAAAATCAAATTTAATTGTAAATTTTTCAGTGCATATTTCTTCTCTTGACAAAAGGTTGAAAATACGATTGAGAATCCTCCACGTCCAATGAGGGTAGTGTTTTTAAACCGTGAAAATTCAAAGCTTTTTATATTTTCCTTCAACAAACATGCCTCCAACTTTTCTGAATGTTCATACACTAATATTAAATATATGAATATTAAATATATGAATATTAAATATATGAAGATATTAAGAGAAATATCAGAATCTAAAATTATCAGTCTTCGATGAGATTAACAACTGTACGATGATGTATTGAATAAAAATTTTCATGCAATAATAATGTACGTAATTTAGATGCATGCAAAACTTTAATCTAAGGGGAAAGGTATCATGCATTTCATGCATTGTTTTTTTTGTTTTTTTGACAATTTATTGCACTTAATTATTTTAAAATATTGGAGACTGTATCTATGCAATATCATGTACATGATTTGTTATTCATCGATTTATGTATTTGCCTTTGGGATCAGTTCCTACCTGACATATTTTTATTAGGTTTAGTATGAGAGACGAAACGTGAATTCTAATACTATAAGTATGCATATATGCACATATTTAACCAACTTTAACCAACTGGAACACGTTGCTATAAGTCCGGAACATATCACTTATTATACAAAATTTATTGTTAATTAGCTGCTATATTTATCAATCAGCTTTATGAAAGAGACCATAAAAGCTTATTAATAATATATGCCAATGTTTGTTATAAATAAATTTACTTAATTTACATACGTACAAATGTGCTGCTTTTTTTTAGTTATTATACACGCTGTCACAATGTAACATAAACTGAATTTGTTAAGACTGTGACCCACAATAGTTTGACATGTAAATAAGATATTAAGCTTAACCATATTTCTTTAACGATGCCAAAAAAGAATTTACGATTCAAATAACTCAAAATATTTTGCAATAACATTTCGTGTGATACGAATAAATATTATCTGGCTCATTTGAATTTTTTTTTCCTTGATATTTTTGTACGTAATTACGTGATCAGTTGTTATCAGTTGTGCAAAGTATCACAAAAAAACTTTACACCGTCATATGAATAATCGGATAAAATCATACGTAACAGAAAAATTTTTTTCATCAGAGTTGATTCTGTGACATTAACTTTAATGAAAAAATTACTATTTTCATCTTCTGTCCAATAAGTATATGTTATTGGCTGCTTCGCATCCAATAACTATACGGTATTTTAGTATCGGTATTATGGCGTTTTAGTGTTTTAATGATTTAGAAAATTTCCTACAATAAGCTGAATGATATCTAAAATGTGTGCTTGGTTTGTAACACAGATTTCTTGATCATTCAAAATCAGGCATAACATGATACAATTAGGAAAGCTTGAAAAAATGTTTGTTTTGTCAAAGATTGCTTATTTCTCAAAAATTTGCATAAAAAATACCTTTAATGCTTTAATAAAAAGTTTTTCCAGAACGATTTTACTGCATTTTTGTTAGTTCCCATTTTAATATGAATTCTAATCTTGTCATCAATAAGTTTTAAAAACATTTTGTTTACATCACAACTTGAGTAACTTATATTTAAATATATACTTACTGTATTACCATTCTGAGTCATTTCACGATTTAGGTCATTCTTGAATTTTGAAATGACCTAGGTCATTTCTCAACCGGTAAAATTCTTAAAAATTTGAAAATATATGCCCAAGCGATGAATTATAGAACCTATTAGATATATATTGAAGTTCTTTTACATGAAAATCAGTATAAAGTTCTTCAGTTACACCAACGTAAATAAATTTAAAATTATGTTACCCAATGTTTACATTTTTGTTTATACGTATAAGTCGTTGGGATTTTTAATTACATTAATTATACTTATTTTGATCCATTAAACAGCGATTGTTTTTCCTTTGTGAATAAAAGTTTGAATATTCGATCAAAGGTTTCATACACCAAAAGGTCGTAACTTATCATTTTAAAAATTAATAAGAAAAAAAAAGTTGTATTTATCGATAAAGTTAAACATTTGAAAAGTTTTATTTATTTATTAATTTGATAATTCTGGGTTCTAAATTCTATTATGTTTTGGGATCAAGTGATGACCCTAGTGATTCTACCCAACCTTATTAATTGAGATTAGGTAGAATCCCAAATACTATTTACTATGTTTCACAAAATACTCTTAATTCATTATGTCAACTACTTTTAACATGTAGCTTATATTATGATTAATAGTTTCAAAATTTTAAATTTAAAAACTAGGTTTGAGATATATTTTAAAATTAAGTAAAACAAGAACTATTAGTACTAAAAAACTCTAGAACATACATTCAAGTTTTAATTTTATATCAAAACTATGTAAAAATCTCAATTCTCAAATATAAATTATGTAATAATGTTCTAATTCAAATTACAGATTTAGGTAAATTACTAATTATTATATGCTAATCTAATAAGTTTTGTTAAAATTGAAATATATATTTAGGTTGGTTGGATTTATGTTTGAATTATATAGAAATTCCAAATCCCAAATCTAAACTATGTAGTAATGTAATTTATATATTTTTTGATGTTAAGATGAAGCCTTGCTCATATCAGTTTACAATATATATTAACAATAAAAAATATATTTGAATTTAGAATATATATTCGGGTTTGATTTTTGAACTCAAAATATGTAAAAATCTCAATGTTCAAACCCAAGCTATGTAGTAATGTCAAAGTCTAAAACAACTAACTACAGTAATTTATTTACATTTAATAGTGATGGGCAATGCGCATGATTTTTATAATGCCGGCGAAGCAATATAATGCTGGCTGATAATATGAGCCGGAAATTTTCAATAGGTTCCAGAATATTCCGAAAACTCATAAAGATTCTGAATAATTCCCATGCGCAAGAAATGATAAAAAATTGGAATTTGCACATCACTAGTCACTCCCTGCTTCTTAAATTTCGTAGCTTTCATTAAAAATTTACCTGGGTATTTCTGAATCTGTGAAAATTTATAAATGACCTAGGTCAACTTAAATAATGAAATAACTCAGGTAAAAAGTGATGGCAAAAAAAATTCACGATCAGGTGATTGTGACCCAATCAATGGTCAATAAACTTATAAGTTTATCGATCGTTTATCGTGAATTTTTTTTCCATCACTTTGTTATCTGAAATGACTCAGAACAAAGACACTAAATGTTAGTTACGTCATTTTGTGTACCTATGGTATTCTCATAGGAAGATTTTCGTATGATTGGTTGTTTTTTTTTAAAAAAAAACTACGAAGAATAAACTAAAAAGAAGCTTATAAAAATTTTTATTAGAGTTGTAGGACTCTACTATTAAACATAATCAAAATCCTTTTTTGTTTTAGAGAAGTTAGCATAATAACAACTTCTTGAAATAGATATAATTAGGTCATTACCATTCTAACTTCTCTAAAACAAAAAGGATTTTGATTATTTAATAGTGGAGCCCTAATAAAACTTTCTATATACACCTTTTTTATTTATTCTTCGTAGTTTTATTTTTTTTTAAAAGTACTTTAAACTACATAAATAATGTAAAATTGAATTGATTTAAACAGCCAATCATACGAAAGTCTTCCTATGAATGGTATTCCGTGCATAATTTCTTATCTATAAAATCTGAAGGGTTTTGTTCTTACTCTTATCTAATGGATTTATTTATACTAATCAGTGACGTGCACAAAATTGTGTCCTGATCTTTTTATTAAACGGAATATGGAATTCCTGACCGGAGATACATATATAATATATTTTATTAATAGTTAATAATCTATATATTATATTAATTTATGAAATAACGGAAAGTTTCTGATTGTTACGAAATTATGCCGGAGTTTTTTCAATTAATCGGAACCTCCGGTATTTGCAATAAAATTTTGTGCACTGATTGAAATTACTTGGAGACAATTTTTAGTCAAATTATTCCCACGAATATTTTAAAGATTTATCATAAGGTTTAATTTCGTAAATCAATGGATGTGTTTGACCAATAATATATATATTTAAGGTAATTCATATAACTTCAATATTTATATCCGATAACGATGTTGATGTCACATAATATAAATGTAACAAATATGTTTTTTATATATATTAATAAACACTAAGGATTTTTATTTAAAGAATATTATCGATACTATTTCTATATATTTTATTAGTTAACATACGTACACACTAAGGATTTTTATTTAAAGAATATTTTCGATACTAGTTTTTATATTTCTTAAACTTAAATAAAAAAATATGGATATTAGCCTTTTTCCTAATCCACGTCCAACTAATCCTCCTAATGATGAAAGACGAATAAAGGTCAATATTATTAGTGATGGAAAAACATCGTCTTATATTATAGATGATTTAGACAAAGATAAAACTTTAAAAGATACTCGAGAATGTTTATCTTCAACTGAAGAAATCTTAATGGGTTGGCAGAATTCCGCCTTTCGTAATAAATTAAAAAGAAAAATTCCTCTTAGTCAGGAGGATAAATATAAATTAGAAGATATCCTAGTTTCAGAAGATGATTATTATTCCCTTACAATTGAAATGAACCAATTACCAAGCTTCCCAAAAATTAAACGACAACATAATATAGAGATAGGTTATAAGACACTTGCTGATGGTTCAATAATTGCGGCAGAACAACGTGCATTTGTCATAAAAAATTCACATTTGATGAGCATTACTCGTAGTTGTAATTTCGATTGTATTTGTAGAATGACAGTTAAAAACTTTGATGCGATATGGATAAAAAGTTTTGAAGACGGGTATGGTTTTTCGGATAACGAATCAGAATGTGAAAGTGAGAGTTCGGCATTAAATGAGTGTACAATTAAATACTGTGAAAAGGGTTCAATTATGTTGTCATGCAAAGATTTAGAGGTAACAGAAGATTATATTAAAGCTATTGAAGATGCTTTGGATGAAGATTTAAATGATACACAAAAAATAGAGGCTTTGATTGAAATAGGGAAAACCTTCGGTTTCTTTTGGTAAATATCCCTATGGAAATTATTCTAAAATTTTGTTGTAAAAAGATTGTCTAAATTATTGAATTTGTTTAATGTTAATAATAATAAATGTTTACGTTTATAATAATTATATTTGTCGAAAAAATAGGGTACAGGAAATTAAGCTTGGTGGAAAATTCATACAAGTTGTTACTCAAAATGGTGAGAGACGAAATAAAACAGTTGGCGGTGATCACGCAAAACATCAAAACACATCAGACTGGCTTAAGAGTTTGGAATCCTGTAAAGAATGGGAAATTATTGGTTATGGTACTAAATTGCCACTTTATTTATTATTGCCTGAAGAATTGCAATCAAGAATAAAACGCCTAAATGGAATGAAAGTACGCTACTCAGATGTTTATAGTATCAGTATAATAAGATTACCTGTTATTGAACCAGTTCCTGTACCACCAAGTATCTCAAATCTAAAAGATTGTAAGATATTTGCTACAATTCTTAACAAAGCAGACAGAAAACCATATAAAAATGTCTTCTCAATTCGTATTGATTACTTAAATGACGAAACTCCATTCTTTGTAATTCATCGCATTGGCATAATCCCTCGTAATCTTCCACAAATAGATCTCAAAATACATTGGATGATTGTAGGATACGAGAATGATCTTCCAATAGAACCATTTTTGAATAATTCTTTTATTAGTAATCTCTGGACTAAGAGCCAAGATGATAGAAATATTCCACTCCGAAGACCTATTTCTCAGAACCATTGTTGGATAACCACTGTTACTTTGCACTGCAATAGAGTTAATAGAACCAATGGTTATCAATTTGCTCGATCAGGAGCTCAGATCAGTTGTCATCTTTCTCAATCTAATGATGGAATGACGATAAATGTATGCTGCAACGTACATAATAATAATAATAATAATCAATTAGAATTTAAAATTAACTGCACTATCCTTAGCAAGAATGAGACCGGAGGATTAATTTGCGTTATTGTTGATGGCCCAACTAATTCACATTGGAGAAATAGAAATAGGTTTTTAGGTCATGATCGTTGCTTGTTTACTGGTAGATGGCATTCAGATAATAACGATAATTTCCAGTTACCTGATGAAGATGATCAAGATGATCTCATTTTTTCAAGTCTTCTATGTCCAAATCATCCTGGGCAAGGATGTAATAATTTATTTTTAAATATTAATCCAAAATATCCAATTATTAAATCACCAAATAATATGAATAGCAATCCTAATTGTTTGGTCTCTTACATTATATTGAGAAAACCGTAAATAATCTTACATTCAAATAGTAAATAAATATAAAATTTATTATTGGGTTATAAATAGTAAATATAAAAATTTATATTAAAATAAAACCTGTCGATATTTTTACTTTTTATCACTACGTGTTAAAGCTCTGTTGAATGGAATTTTTAATACTTAGTATTGTCAATTAAAAAAACACTTTCATAAGATTAATCACACAGTAAAATATAATCCTCGTACGAAAATAAGCATCCTTGGCACATGCTATGCAACTTTCGCTTGCATTATAACAATTTTGGTCTGCATTACATGCAAAAAAAAAGTGGTGGTTAATTTCGGAACAATACAGTAATTATGCATAAGCATTTTTTAACTCCATTATCTATGTTTTGGTTGATGACACTCATTTTAAATACTACACGTGATTTTAAGTACACTCATGAACCTTGTGAGCGTTATTTGAAATAACAAATTGATTTTTTAATTGTTAAGAATCTTTACGATTGAAATTATGGATGAAAAGTTCTATGAAAAATTTTTAGAAAGTCAAATTTTAAAATATTTTTGAAAAAATTGCTTAATACTGAAAAACAACAACGCCAACTGGATATATTCTATCAATCCTTCTATGTCTGCGTATTTTTATATTACAAGAAAGCCTTATGCTTATTTTTTTCAGCTATGATTCCCTATCCTGTGTAGTTTGATATAGCTATTACATGTATATTTACAATTGCCATTGCTAATGTTATTATAATGCTTTTACATATAAAATTCAGGTACAATATTGGGTAGTAATAAATAATCTTACTTTTAAATAGTTTACTGCTTGTTCCAAGCATTTAAAAACTTTTTTAGAATTTTTTTTTTGAATTTTCAAATGAATAATAACTTTTAATACACCATTATTTTCCTTGACATTTTGTATTGATTAATAATTATTCTAAAGTAATATTTTAAGTTTAAATCCAGTTACATAGATTCGTCGCAAATCAGTTTATTTAAGCCGGGCCTGTATTTAGCAATACAAGCCGACTATATCATTAGCAAAAATTATCAACTAAGAATTTCTTCTTAATGAAGGGCTATGATTTATTAATAATATTCTTGAGTACGTATCTTAGACAAAATTTGTTAATTTCGGCGTGGACAACCACAATTCAAATAAACCTACTAGAATTCAGAAGATCTTTCTGATTTGTCACCTATGTGTTCCATTTAATACACTTGAAGGATCTTAAAACAAATTAAGTAAATTGTATCAGTATAGCTTCAGCTCAGCCTTTTCTATATTAAGCATTAATGATCTACATTAAAGATCGTTGTACAAACACAAATCTAACTAAACTCTAACTACTATTGTGGTTTTACATGTAACAGGTTGTTAAGAGAAAATTTATTCTAAAGGTTTATATTTATTAAATTCGTAAAATAAACTAGAATTCAAGCTTTACGTTTCGATCCTTATTGGTTATGGTTTTTATTTTGGTCATGAGTCAGTGTATATTTTATATAATCGTTAACATGTGGTTTTATGAATTGACAATAATCAAAGATATATAATTTTAAAAGTCTGGTGATCAATATAAATGCTACGAGTCTAACGTATCACCAGTCTACGTATCACCGAATTTATTCAGAAATTAACACGATTGTTTATAATTTTGTTGCATTTAGAAATAGAAATAGAAAAAATATGCTTCTTATTGCCAAGGTCTTAAATCCAGACCAATTCGAATTTCTTTTAGTTTTATATCTTACTATTTTTGATTACATTATAAATCATGTAAAATAAATTATTTTAACTCCGCCTGTGTCACGTAAGAGTTACAATAAATAGATAAATAAATAATCCTTATCTTTAATATAATTGTTTAGTAGCGCGAAAATGTGTTAATCTTGATAGTACATATAATTTATGCATAAAGCAATATGATACATATACATAGTAAAATATTATGGTACGGAAACACAGATCATGATAGATATGGTATTAAAAGAAAACCATTTTCAAAAGTTATTTTTTTTCTGTAACCTGTCACTGCCCTAATACGAGAAAAGTACATAAGTATGTTCTATACTAACATTTGTATTAATATAACCATAAAAAAAAAGGGTTATATAAATAAATTATCATTTATATTAACTATAAATTCTTGATTCGTACTACAAGATTATTGAATACTGATCTTGATATGGCATAATTGTGAACACGCGATCCGAAAATAATGCTACAAAATAAAACTTGATAATCAACGTTAAATTCCTTCCTCCCCGTTTTTTAAAACGATTCATAGTACCTACTACAATTTGCAATGCGATTTTTTAAATAAGTTTGAATCTCCCTAAAATACCCAAAACACGTTTTACAGTAATGAGTACAAGCACCACTATTTACGAAAGCGTTCGAATTTTATTTAATAACAAAAAGTTAATATTGAAACCATATGAAGAGCTTAAAGAGTTAAAAGTTGTTTCTAATGCTCAAACGTTCGACTTAGATGGCAAGATAGTAACTTTAAATGTATTAACAAATCAAATTTGTAATCAATCCGATGGCAAAAAAAAATTGTTGCTCGAGGTATGCATTTGTTTAAAATTAATAAAGTTGTAGAATTAATGCATTAGTGATTTTAAAACCTTTAAGTTACTCATCAAAATGACGAATTTTTAATTGTCTACAAGAATTTTATTAATCATGAATGTATTTATTATAGCTTAAGCAATTAGAAAATGAAAATGTGCTTAAGGTTTATGGTCTTACGAGCGGTAGGCTTATAATAAATGTTGAGATAATTACATTAATACATATAAATTATATATATATATTTTATTTTAAATAATTTGAACATAGTAAATATGGAATACTATATTATTCGTGAATACGCTAACAATGGAGACTTGCGCAATTACCTGAAAGAAAATTCTCAAATTTCTTGGATCGACAAAGTAAAATTAGCGTGCCAAGTGGTTTCCGGCTTGGAATTCCTTCATAATAATAAGATCATCCATGTTGAGTTGGTAATATTTAATTTATACAAGCTATGCATTAATTATTTGATATTTATAATAATTTAAAAATCTTTTTTAGCATCCAAAGAATATATTGATGCATAATTCCACTCCAAAGTTGACAAGTATAGGGATATCGCAACTTAATACACCTAATAGATTTCCTTTTACTCATTACACACCTCCCGAAGTATTAAACAAGCAAAAGTTAATAGATGGAACAAAATCAAACGTCTATAGTTTAGGCATTTTATTTTGGGAGATCTCTAATAATGATTTCCCACCATTTAATGAAAGTTTTGATATTACGGTTGTAATCAAAGTGATTGCTGGCTATCGAGAATCGCCTATAAAAGGAACACCTCTTAAATATATTGACATATATAAAAAATGTTGGGATGATGATCCCGGTAAAGTTATGTTTTAATTGTCTTATTTGCAAATATATTTATTGAGTATTAACTTGCATTGGTAAATTGTAGATAAAAGGCCTAGCTGCCATGAAATTCTTAAGGAAATGCAGGATATATCCTATGCAGAAGTGTATAATATAGATCAAGTACAAGAGCAAGATTGTGTTCCTGTTCCTGATTCAGAAACTATCCCATTAAGTCACGACATTAGTTCCTCTGAAGCTTTAATTCCCGAAACTAGTCTCTCTGAAGATTTTAATATGGATGAGAACCATTTATTGGATTTTGAATTTTTGGAACAACAAGCAGAAAGAAAGAGATTATTTGTCAAGCGTTTTGGTTTGACCAAAGGTCGTAATAGAGATGGTTTTGATTTTGTTCCAGGGAAAAAGCACATTTTGGATGGCAATGGAAGTTTTAATGCTGAAAAATTAGAGCATTTTACACCGATCGTTTATTCTGCGAAAGTAAACATTGAACCATGGGGATTTTTAAATAAGTTTACTTTATTTCCTCGTAAGGACACAAATGTTCCATATGGTGTGGATATCATAAGAATTCATATTCCAATCGGTGAGGTAGAATATGAAGGACGTTTAACTGATGAATTTATTCATGAAGTTAAAGATGCCCTTGACATTTCAGATTTGCATGAAAAAAGATCAAAACTAAATGAAATCTTTAATGAATACGGGAATTATGTTATTACAAAATTTACTATTGGTGGTGCAATTATGATTAATACTCAGGGTATTAGTGATGAAAGTTTATTACGCTTCCAAGTGTATCTTAACTGGGGCATTAGTTTCGCTAAAGGTGAAACACAAGCAATTTTTGAAAACGGAACACTTGAAGGATTTCCACATTTCGAAACATTTCCTTCAAGATCTATGGAAAATGTTAAAGATTTATATCGATGGTTAAAAGATTTACATGAATGTAAAGACGTTGAACTAATATTATTTAAAGAATATAAACCATTTTATGAATTATTGGATAATAGTTTAAGAGAAAAAATTTTTGAATGTTTTAATTTAACCCCCATTGATGAACCGCTTCCAATTTTGATTCCACAACTTCCTCCTGAATTCAAGCAAGAAATTTTTTCGGAGTGGATGTCATTATCAAATCCTTCTTTATTGCCATATGTTAGAGATTGGATTGAAGAACTCTCATTGCGGTATGGTGTGATCCTACAACACACCAAATTAGAGCATGGAAAGACTGTTGCATTTAAATTTTTAAAAGAACCTGAAATAATCCCAATAAATAAACTCATAATTTTGTTGGCGCAGCCTAAAAATCAGCAAGAAGCTTATCTATTGGACAACTTTATTGACTTAGAAAAGGCAAATGAATTGAATATTAGTGAAATTCCTTTTCTAGATTTTAATTCACCATTGAATCACCCAGTAGAAGATCTTAAAAACTCTATAAAAAAATCTTCTAAAAAAGTTTTTTGCCAAATTATATTTCAGGCTGCAAAGCTATCTTTCTCTTTACCATATATTAAACCATCAGAGCAGTGTATTGAAGCGGTTGATGTAGCTATTGAAAACACACAGCCATATAAAACTCTTTCCGAATTATTTAATAATGATTTTGGTCACCTAATGCCCAAAACTGTTGTTATTGGTGGGATCTTAAAACGATCATATGATTCATATAAAATAAATTCAATTAATGACACTCTGAAAATAGAATTAGATGTTAATACATCTCAAGAAGAAATTGAGAGATGTTTGGCAGAATTGAGTAAAGAATATAAAATCGATACATCATTATTCATCAGTCATTGTGGGGAAGTTATTGATCAAAACAAAATTACAGATTGGTGGAAACCTCTCAAAAATGATCCCGAAAATTGGAAAATTATCTCTTTTGAAGATTGGGTACCATCATATACCGTGCTAGACCAATCTTTAAACAATGTAGAAATTATTTTAGATGAAAAGTATCACGTTGTTTTTGAAGGAGAAATATTTTTAACTCGGGATAATCAATCAAGTATCATCATTGATTTCCCAGGTTCGCTTTCTGAAAATGATTTTCAGATATATGGTGAAATCGTCAAGAAAGCTGATTCTGACAAAGATGAATGCTGGAAAAAGATTCCAGGTGTAACAATTACATTTGATTATACCAACAAATTTGGATGTGTTGCACTCATTCATAATAGCAATGATATAAGGTAATATCATTTTTTAAATAGATATCAAAAATTATCATCTATTTATAACAATAATTTAACAATTTCAACAATTATTTTTTTAACAATTACCATAGTTTGGTTAATAATGAGACGAAAATATTTTGGTTCGTACTTGCAAAACTGAAAGGATATTCGGAATTGGCCTATAGAAATATAAAGGTCATCTGTGGAGAATGTGATGTAGATGACATTCAATCTGATATACCCATAGTATTGAAAACGAATGAAGAAATTTGCACAGATAATGTTCTTGTGACTTCATTTGTTACTAAGTCATTTAAAGACATGTCTTGCTACAAAATTGTTCTCAAAAGTTGGGCTAAAAATACTTTTGTATTGGGAATTCAAAAAGAAGGCCAAGAAAATTCTCAAAATTTGCCGGGACAAATATCAGATGAAGATTTAGAAGGGAGTTCAAGTTCAGATGATGCGAAAGAAAAGCCGGTTATAAATAGTACTGAACCAAACCTTCAAGAAAAAATTTCTGTTAAATTCTGTATAATTAATGCAGACAAAGAATATAACTGGAATAAATATGGGATATATTTTGACGAAGAATTAAAAAATGAAGAGATTCCTTACATTTACTATGATCTCAACTATTCTCCCATGAAATTGGATGATGCAATTGAGCAACATCAAAAACCCAATGGGAATACCCTCGATGCATGGAAAAGCTTTGTAAAAATTCGTAATGATAATGGTAATCCTAGAGCCACTTATTGGATTGGGTATTATCTTGAAAATAATAAAAAGATTCTCAAGGCACCTATTAAGTTTTATAAGGATGTCCTTGAAGGAACAAAAGATCTTCAACAAGCTGCAATGAGATATTATAAAGAAGCAGCTGATTATGGCGATTCAGATGGACAACTTAGCTATGGTTATGGTTTATTCAATGGAAATGGTGTTCTTGAAGATAAGCGAGAGGCAAGAAGGTATTTTGAGTTATCTTCAAAAAATGGAAACATTAATGCTAAGTATAATTTAGGTCTCATTTTATATATGGATGGGCATATTGAGCGAGGAAAATCATTGATAACACAAGCTGCCCAAGGTGGGCATAAACCTTCTATAAAATTTTGTAATAAGAAAAATATAAATTTTTAAGATTTTTTAAAATGTACTTATGATGTTTAAACTTATGTTTTATCTCAAAAACCGATTAGTTGATAAAAATATTCTGCATACTCAAAAAGTTTTAAAATTTTAATCTAACTTAAAAAAAATGAAATTAAAATTCTATATAAAACATGTAGGTGTATATAGATGCAAAATATCATTGAATCTTGTAATAAATGTATCATAAATTGTACTTCCATATCATTTTTTATATTGATAATTTAAAAATATAAGATTCCTTTTTTATAATTACTAGGTCACCATTGCTTCAAACACTATCAAATGGTAATTATAATAAATCTATCAGCATCGTTGGCATTTTTGACCAATAGTTACAGATTAAAGTAAAGTACTAGCTCTCAGGCCTATAGTTTGCAGTAGAATTATTGAATTACGACACAGTTCTTGATTATCGTAAATATTATATCAGATACACGATATTTCACCTATTGAAATTTTCTTTTTTTTTTAAATATTAAAGTTGGGGCCTATTGAAATTTTCTAATGATCAATGTATCTAAAATTTCATATAATTTACATCAAAATGCTTCTCTACTTTTACTTGATAAAAAAAAAAGTTAAGAATTAGTTCAAAGTAAAAGGGGTTTTGTTTTTTAGCATTTGATGCACCTTTTTATAAAATTTGGATAGTGATTAAAAATAAGATTGAGAATAATCTTGGACCCGAAATTCAATTTTTTTACTGCTGTACTATGTAATACAACAATAACGAATCTCATTTGACCAAACAATAATGCATCTCATTTGACAATAACGCATGTCCGTCAGAATAAGTTGGTTAGACTTAAGCCTAATCATATGACTCTGTCTGACATAAGTCATTGTTTGGACAAATGAGATGCATCATTGTCGTGTTAAATAGTACAGCAGAAAAAAAATTGAACTTCAGGACCTAGATTATTCTCAATTTAATTTTAATTACTATCTACAAATGCAAAATTATAACTTGTGCCCAGTTTGAAGTCACAGAATGACAATATTTCAATAAATAAATGCAAGTTTATGCATATATATATATGCATGTTTTTAAAGAAAACACCTGATTGATTAATAAAACCAATTTATTATTTATAGAGTATTTGGTATTATTATCTAGTTAAAATAAAATATTTTTAAGTTGCAATTTATTAAGTGATAAATACTTATTTTTTAAAACTACTTTTAATTATACTTGGCTTAAATTAATTTTTCTTAAAAAGGTTTGATATACTGTATTATATAGGTTTAAGAATAAATATTGTTTTTTAATTATATAAAAAAATTAAATCATATTAGTGACCTCTAGAGTCAATAGCATAGTAGTTATGCTCTGAGGTCACAAATCACAAGATTGCTAGTTCACATCCTAATGTCAGCAATTGTAGAGATGTATTTCTAAAATAGGAAACTGCAACATTGTAGAACCAGGAATTCAGAGTGTTCAAGGATGGACTTATTTTTAGAAATGTTAAGTAATCTGCAATTGAAAAGCTATACAGTGATAAATATAAGTTAGAGCTTGATTCAAAATAACTGAAGTCATGAAATGTAATATGAGACTGAAAGTCTAATAATGTGAAATACTATATAAACTTATAATGACAACTGGTTCTAGACTGAGCTTGGCAAAGTTTTCTGATTCTAGCAGGGGTTGGTGTAATGAATTATTTCTGAAAAGTTTAAAAATATAAATGGAGAGAGGTTGTGATCTAGTAACTAAAGTTATTAAGAACATTAGTTCAAAAATGAAAGAATATAAAAAAGATCTTGTCAAGATCATTAAAGGTGAAAAAAAATCATATTAGTTTTTATAATTAAATTATTTGAAAGTATTATTATAGTACTATAGTACTATAGTGCTACATTATATATAAACACAATTAGTATAATATGTAAATCAAAATCTTTTTTTTATAAAAAAATAAACTTTTAATTAAAGTTAGATTAAGATTAAAGTTAAAGTTAAATAAGATATAACTTATATTAAAATTTTGTAAAAAATTTTTTTATTAATATATAAAAAATGATATTTAATTAAAATTTTATGGATACAAATCATTAACTCTTTCTAATGATCATTTGTACCAAATTTTACTGCAAGCATTTGATTATTATTCAATATTTTATTAAGTAAACTATCTTTAGATACCTAAATAAAATTGTTTCTGACATAATTTTAAACTTAGGCAGCCTAGTTATATATCTTTGGACCTCTTATTCATTGAGATATTTTTATTAAATATAAAAACACTTCTATTCAAGTTATTTTAAAATTTACTAATTAAACAACTCATATATCTTAGAACAAAAAGAAAGAGCTCATTCATAGCTTCATTTTAATATAAAATTTATCAAAAATGATCTAAGCTGATCAATTTATTGACAAAATATGTTTAAACTCTTTTGCAAAATTTCTTTTTATTTTTTGCAAATTTTTTTATATTTTTGGGAGGGCTGCCTCTGGTCTATCTCATCCAAACCCACCCAAAACAGGATTACTAATCAATATTACATAATTTATTAATTACAAATTTGTATTTTTATAATTTTATAAAACTTTTTGTTTACTATCAATCTTGACTTACAAATAGATTTGCAAAGTGTCACATACTTTTTGTGATACCTTTTTATTTGTCATATCCAGTATTTGTCACATCTCTCTAATTGTCATATCCTTTATTTATCACATCCCTTATTTGTTATACCCTCTTATTTGTCACATCCTATATCATTGACATCCTATCAGACTCAAGAATTCTAATATCAAATCTGTTTTCATTTTCATAGCAACTATGCCTACATTAATTAATTAAGATCAAGATCAATATGATTTAAATTATTTTTTGGTTAAATATGGTGACCACTTTGGTGTCATGCCTAAAGAAAATAATCTATAACAAATTAAATTTATTCAATTTGCTGTACACCTAATCGAATACAACAAAAAAAACAAGATTCACTATTTTAAAGCACCTTATCAATCTACTGTCATCTAATGTCTTTGCAAAACTTATTATATTCTGTTTACATCTTGTTATTACCAACTTCTTTCAAGATCTGCAACACCTCCTCCAACTTTCAGTTCTGCTATTCCTATGAACATAATCCCAAACCAATTCAAAAAAACCAAAGATACTATTACTCAATCCCCCATGAGCAAAATTCTTCCATTTTCATTCAACTATGATAATTCATCTGTTGCTACTTCTTCAACTGTTACAGATCTTGCACTTAATACTGTAGCTATTAAAGCTTATACACAACATATTCATATCTGTATTATCTGTTACAAATCAAATATTCCATGTATTTTCCTAATTAATAACAAACATTTTCTTGATTCTACTGCTAAAATCCTATGTAAATATCCTATTCATCCTAACTGTATTTCTAATCTCAAGTTAAAATTATCAATTTAAACTAAACTTCTTAACCAACAACAATAATCAGCTTTCTTTACTACTAAATTTGCTCTTATTAAAAAAGAAGAAAAATCCAAATCTTTAAAGAATTTCTTCAATTTCTTAAGAAAAAACAATCTATTCAGAAAAAAATAAAAATTCTATAACAAACAAAAGAAAATCTTCTTAACTGGGCCCAAAAATATCTAATTACAACTGAAATGAAACTATTTACTAACTTCAATACACCATTATCTTAACAAAGTTTTGATTTTCTTAAACCTCATCTTAGCAACTTCACACTAGAAAAAATTACCAAACCTGTAACTGAATATAAATACGCATCTAAATGGAGTTTTAAATATGTTATTAAAACTCTTACTGGTGCACAATCTAAGTTTTTTATAGATATTATTTATCAATATAACCCTACTATTAACAACTCAATTACTATACCCTTCAACATTTTACACTTAATTCTTAAAATGCTTCTTCACAAATTCACTACAACTCTTTTTATTAAACTTAACTATGCTAAAATACTTTCCTCACACAAATCAATCCTTCTCTATACTTTACAAAACTACTTTCAAGTGGCAATTAATTTGGCAAGAATTTATTTTTATTTACAAAATGAATATCAAACAATTGATCTTGCTAAATTCTTCAAAACAGTTAACATTCTACCAATACATTTTTTACTTTACTACTTCATTAGTGAAGATGCTATTAATCAATCTTTATTTAAAATACAAAATAATGAAAAATACAATATCAATATCTCATTTAATATTTCCAAACAAGAATTTTAACAAACCTTTCATATTCCTTCTCTCAAAAAATATAGACCTGATCTTGAATCATAGTTTAAACCCTTCTTTGCTAATTACAAAAAACAATTCATTAACATTAATGAAACTAAAACCTTCAATTATATCAAATATGAAATTGCTACTAAACTTGCAGAATTATGCAAAAGACTACTGCCTTCAGATTTCAAAATAACTTCAATTGACTCTCTTAGAGAATGATTATTATTTTGTACCAAAGCTGCTCTATTTCAAATCCATATCTGTACATATAGCAAAGATAATCCATACACTATTCTCCTTCTTGATATTGAACACAACTTTGAAAACTTGTTTACTAATTTCTTTGATTTATCTTTTAAAAATTTTCTGCTATTCCATTAAATAATAACTCAGTCAAATAGACTCAACTAGGTCTTGATTTTTCTATTTTTGCAAAAGACCAAAAACATCATGCTACTTTTCAAAACATTACATCTTTATCTTTGCTTCACAAACTTGCTAATGAACAGAAACTTACTTCTCTAACAACAATAATACTGTTGAAAACTCTAAATATCATAGTTTCTATTTCTATTCATATTTTCATGTCTTTCTCAGAGCTGCTACTGAGAATGATGAAATTAATAATCTTAATGAACATTAGGTCATTAACAAAATTACAACAAAACCAGTTAATACATATTTTCTTGTCTGAATGATTACTTATTTCCATATCCTCAAACAACCAATAATTTCTATACCAGAAATTCTTGAAATATACAAAACTACAATCTAT